TGGCATTTTGGCGCCATCTATGCGGTGACCCTGGAACTGCGTTTCACAAGAGCAAAGGCTTTGCGGGATTTCTAAGGTCAAATGTGCGTAATACCTATAAGAACGGCTCGTTTATAACGTTGACAAAAGCTTTTTGGGCCAAGAAAGAAAGGATAATGCGAGAGAGAAATAGAAAACATGCCCGACCGCCAAGTTTACACTTGTACCCAATGGATGGCACCAGTGTGTCCTCTTGTTGTAATAGATATTAAGAGGTTCTAACAAAACCCGATTCTAAGAGGCCACAAGAGTGTGAACGGGCCTTTAACCTTGGTTGGCTAGGCAGACAATGCCCGTGGCTGCATTTAGGTGCGTCTGGTTTCTTCTGCCTAAAGGCCCGTTCACACTCTTGCAACCGAGTACGACCGAGAAAGACCAGACCAATTTTTAAGCCTCTTGCGACCTCTTAGGACCGGATGCACTGTAGTAGAGCTGGTCCTAAGAGGTCGCAAGAGGCTTAAAAACCGGTCTGGTCTCTGTCGGTCGTACTCAGTTGCAAGAGTGTAAACGAAACTTTAGGGACCGTAACCTTGGTTGGCTAAGTGGACGACGCATGTGCCCGTGGCTGCATTCCGAGGCCCCTGCTTTCCTTGAAAAGAAAACAACACTTGACCCTGACCTCGAGTGCCATGTGGTGTGTACGCGTCTATTGTGAATCACTCTCAGTTCATGGGGCGCCGGCACCAGAGCAGCGAGAAACTGCCGTCTGGATGACTTCCATACACCAGCGCCAGCATTCCAACTCTTAAGAAAACTTGGATGAAGTCGCATCCCAGTATTCGTTATATAAAGGCCCGTCCACTGCACTCTCAAGGTACTCTCAGATTTTCACGGTATCATGTAAATAAACGGTTTAAGCAGACACCCTGGATCTCAACCATTCTTACGTTTTAATGGGGCCGGCACTAGGTTCAAGCGGAACACCAACCCCTAGTCTACCCCCTTATAAATAAAAAGAAACAAGAAAAGAGGAACTGACCTATGCACTTCCGCAATGCACACAATCATGCACAAAAATTATGTAAAAAAAAAAACAAATCTTACACGTTAAGTGGATTTGAGGTACCGCCACCGAGACGTCGGTATCGCCAGAGCAGCGCCTTTTACAGTTCGTCCCCGAAACGCGTAGAGTAACACATTTTTTAAATATTTTTTCATGTGCACTACTTCAGTACCTTTCCCAGCTTTGTACGCTATGTATGAAACAGAGTATAGTGAAAATCTAGGAGGCAGTAGGCAAGTTCTACCACGCAGTCCTGATGTTGGGCCGAGACCTAAACAAATATCAAAAAATTTGATTTGTAAGCTATGACTAATCAAGGCAGGAGTGACAGGCGGTACGCTACAAACTCCCTGACATCACTTGTACAGCAATATTTCAAAGGGATGGCCGTATTTTGGGAATGAAAGGGAGCAATTCAACAAGGCTGACGGGACATACTCTCGTCATGATTCTTCATTCCCTCTCCTCTTCGCTAAGTTGCCTTGAGAAAGTGAACCGAAGCGAGGAGAAAAGTGAGGCCGCTTCTCATTCTAAACTGTTCTGTGAGAATTGTGCCGCTCTTTGTCCTAATTACAGCCATCCGTCTGCAAGTGCTGCTGTGGGACGAATATTTCAGACACGAGCCTAATGTACTGCATTTGGGACAAGATGCTTGAAAAAAGTGCAATTAGTCAATACGTAATAATAATAAAAAAAAAATTTCACTTAAAAAAATAAAAATCTGGAAACTTAGAATTTTACATACAAGCCAACTACTGAGTCTGCTCGGCTGGCTCAGAACAGATGCAGTGAGCAGCATTGGTGGCGTATGCAGCGCGTTGTCTGCTACTGAAGCTTAAGCGCGAAACACATGTACGACGGAACCGTCCGATCTGACGTCCGACCACGCAATACGACGGTCGGAGGCGAGGGTTTTCAAAGCTCTCCGATGCTACGAAAACCCTCGCTCCCAAAGTCATTCCGGCAGTCCGCACGTCGGATCGGACGGTTTCGTCGTACATGTGTTTCATGCTTTACTGCGTCTGCACTGAGCTTCCCGTTGCCCCAGCAGCTGTCAAAACGCGGAGCACCGTCCATCCATCAGCGAGTTCCCCCTAACAGTAGGTAGCTCTATACATTCCTACTGGCAAAGGCTTGCTGTATCAGCAAGCTTTTGCCAGTAGGTGGCACATTTCCATGTGCCAGCAGGCACATGGAAATTAAGCTATTTGAAACATGAACTTGCCTTCTGCATGGAGTCTCCAACTCCACCTTCAGGGAGGTTGTTGAGAATCCTTGGCACTGCTACTCTTGCCTTCTGCATTTTTTGGATGAGAAGTTCAACTGTCCCTGCGAAGATTGTGGGTAACGTGCCAAACCATAGCATTACTTTTGAAAATTAGAACAAGCAATCACGCACATCACATCGCCTCGCACTAGTGGAGAACATGAAAGCTTCTTATGTTCCGATTTCAAAACGTCTTAAGATGGAGTGACTCCATTTTTAGCACACCAGCTTACGGAGCCTTTACTCGACTAGCATAGGTGTCTAATAGCGAGTTCGTTTCACACGCACTGGCGCTGTTCGAGTTCTCTCCCAGAATGCATCGCACTCGCAGAGTGTTGCACGGAGAACTGGAATCAAACGAACTCGCCAGATGCACCGAGTGCAGAAAACCAAGTCCAGAAAACTGATGCTGTCACCATCTATGTCATGGAAAAGGTACCAACCTCAAACCGAAAATAGTGTTTTTCTGTTCGGAGTCATGGGTGGAAATGCGAGAGTGCAGTCGCTACCAACGTTTATCTACAAACGTTGGTCGCTGCAACCTGTAGTTTATCATTTCGTCGTTTACCCTGAGACTGGGGGGTCTCAGGGTAAACGACGAAATGGTTGACTTCCACCAGCTAGCCTGTACTTTGACTCTTTTCTATAGTTTATATTTGCGATGACTTCAAGCAACTGGGCTGTCGTAAAGATGGTTACAGACGGCGTAAATTTCCGCAGCCAGCTGTCTACAAAGCGGCTGGTTGCGATCTCTTTATAGCCGCTTACACTGAAGAAAACTGATGATGCTGTCCAAGCAGAAGCTTGACCCATTTGAGCATGGTATCATACGTGAACCACTGAAAGGGTACGGCTTAAAAACTTGTCTCTTGGAATATCCAGCAAAACTTTTCGTGGGACTTTCGATTTCGATCATCATTACAGGTGAATCAGATATCAGCCGTGGTGAGGCGTCGAGAAAGAGCTTTCTCGAACAAAATACGACGGGGTACCTTAGCTTACGTAGGTAAATGTTAAACATTTGTCGACAAAACACGAGTTTTGTCGACAAATGTTCAATTTTTCACCCGCGCACGGATGGTGATAAACATATCGAGGGCCGCTGATGCGTCTGTTCTGAGCATTTCTTTACACACCGGTATATTTCAGCGTCTGTACGGCAACGGAGCGACTTAAAACCTGCAAATAAAGCACGGTTTGTCAGTTGCTTCCTTCATGAAGTAGCAGACGCTTACAATTCAAGCTCGCATTTGATTCCTTTGCCCGCGGGACCCGATTTCTATCAAAAAATCTACTTTTTTTTCCTTTCGGTTCCGCGACACATCGTAGCAGACGAGTCCTCGTCGTCTGCTCATCGCTCCTCGCCGGAGCGAGGCATGACGGGATTGCATTTTGGCGCACTCACGATTTCCTCGGTGCAGCGAGTCCATGCACGCGTGGGGTGTTGGCGCTGAAACGAACTCTTAAGCGCGAAACACACGTACGACGAAACCGTCCGATCCGACGTCCGACCGCGCAATACGACGGTCGGAGGCGAGGGTTTTCAACGCTCTCCGATGCTACGGAAACCCTCGCCCCCAAGGTCATTCCGGCAGTCCGCACGTCGGATCGGACGGTTTCGTCGTACATGTGTTTCGCGCTATAGAGTGCAACCACTCGCGGAGTGCCGGCTGAAACGAACCCGCTCCACGTTGCGAGTGGGCACGCGTGGGCACGAGTGCCGTGAAACGAACTCGCTATAAAACATTTCATGCGTGACGCTCATGGGTGGCGCTTCACCTTTGTTTTTGTTCCTCGAATGCAGCCTTCACACTAAAAAAGTACAGTACATGCATTCGTAACACCCGTTTTCAAATAGCCCGAATTACAGCTTTTGTGAAACCATGTGCCTTCACTGCGCAAGTACTTGAACGATGGGGGCATTTGTTAGAAGTAAGGCGCACTTGTTCGTGCCCGGCCGCCCTGCTCCACGTGCGTATTAGCTCACACAAAAATCTCCAGAACCGACGATTCCTGAGCATGGTATCTTAAAAAAGGTATCACACGAATACACATACCTCCAAGCATCTCCACCGTCGCTTCGTAGTAGCCTTCTTCCCCTCCTTTCTCAGAGATCCAGAACGCTTCAAGCTTTTGTTTTGGGTTGCAGTCTTGATCATCCCTAGGCCTAAACTTCTTTATCATCGAGATCGGCATAACTAGTCGGCCACCGTCGGTAAACTTTACAAATGCGTACATCGCCCAACGGACGCCCACAACACCCGCGACGCAAAAAAACCCAGCGTACGGGCGGTCGAGGTCCAGCCGTCCACCTCTAACGGTCGAGCAATGATGGGGACGCGGGCAAGCAACGATAAAGCAATTATGGCGACGCAGACGGTCAAACGCAGGCACGCAAGAGAAGACAGAAAGCGCGCGCAAGACAGGGACTGGGCTTGGCTAGGCTGCGCCCACTGGCTGCGCCTGTATGAATAGACAAATAAACAAAATTGACTTATTTTTATATTGGACGGTAGCTCGCGCCACCTAGGTTTTAAGAGACGAAAGCAGTTTTTTTTTTGGCCTCTAACTTTTTATTTTGGTTTTGGTAAGTCTTGACATTTTGGCATCTTGCTGGAACTACGTTTTACTATACTCCGTTCCACCATCAGTCCAAGCGCAGTGGACGCCACCAGCTATTCCAGCCTATCCAGCGCCGGGAGAAAATCGCGTGACCTGCCGGTTGGGCAGAGCGGCGCAGGGAGCTCAAGGTCACATGACACTCTCTCTACGCGGGATTGGCTTCGATGGCTCCTAGCGTCCGCTGCGCTCGGACTGAAGGTTAAACGGAGTATAGTTCTATTTTATTTTTCCGGTGTAAGAAACCGGGTTCCGATTGCTCACAAACACCTAGAACGTAGTCAATCCAAGTCTCATTGACTATGGTCTCCATTATCCTTTCAACAGGTGGCGCCAAGTTCTTTGTCTGTTAAGTTTTAGCTGCAATGGAAAGCTCACCGGGTGCCAAGCGTCGGAAATGTTACTTGGCAGAGAGTGAGCCTTTTGTGATGCCTAGATCAACGCAATATTTTCACAGTACAAGGGATGCTCAGGACCCTGGAGACCCCCCTCATGACGTGCTCACCCCGTTAACTCGAGTTCCCCAAGCACTAAAATCCGCTGGGAATAATTCTGATGACGAGGACTGCCATTCCGAAGAATCCGAATTGAGCACAGATGCCGAACGCGAGCGTTCGGAATCGTTAAATGCTAGCGACGAGAACTACGATGTTCAAGACGACGTCGTGAACTCTGGTGAGGACTATGGAGATGATGATGACGAGATGAATGGAAATGACCCTGTACCACAGCCCTTGCTCGAACACCTTCTGTCGTCCTGTTTCAATCAGTTCGGGACGGAGACACTTCCCCATTCTACGACGACAAAAGCCGGCGCCATCGCCATGATAATGGCCCACGTCGTATCGCAGGGCATGACGTGGTCGGGCCTCGATTCTTTGCTCGTGCTCATCAATGCCCTGTTTGGAAGGCAAGTCGTGCCGCAAAGCAAATATGCTTTCCGCAAGCTTTGGTCAGCAACGACGCAAAACTTGGTTCGCTACTACTACCTTTGTGAGGGCTGTGGAGCAGTTCTGGAAGACGCAGAGACTGCAGCCAGCTGCTCAGTGTGCCAGCAAGGGATAGATCTGAAGGTGCTAAAAGAGAATGGATCCTACTTCGTAATGCTTGACATGACGAAGCAACTGTCCTTCGTTATTGAGAAGACCAAGGAGCTTCTTCACAACAACCTCCTGAAGCTTGCCATGGAACGTAGTACCTCATCAAGCGGAAGTGGTGTCACTGACATAACAACAGGTGAAGCCTATGATGCTCTGCGCAGAAAGACTGGGATGGGGGACAGTGATCTTTCTTTGACTTTTAACACAGACGGCAGTCCTCTCTTCGTGTCATCCAAAACGTCTGTTTGGCCTATTCAATTCACTGTGAATGAGCTCCCTCCAAGCATCCGCTTCAAGCACACCACACTAGCCGGACTTTGGTTCGGAAAAGGCCATCCAAACATGACTGCCTTCCTCGCAAAGTTTGTTGATCAAGTCAAAAGCATGACGCCCGTGATGTGGGAGCATAGCTCTGAGATGCACAGGTCCAGAGCTTATGTGCTCTGCTGCTGTGTCGACGCACCTGCGAGGGCAGCAGTTCAGAACATGGTACTTTTCAACGGCTCGTTTGGATGTCCCTGGTGCCTCATAAGTGGGGAACACCTGGAAGGTATGTATCGGTCTTCTTGCACGTGCACATTGCAGTTCAAACTAAACATTATGTTTTTCTGAGCCTACTGGGTGCAACCTCATAATATATTTTCGTTTCTTTTTATTCACAGGAAGCATGCGCTACGTGCCCAAGGAACCACCGGCTCCAAGAACATCTGAGCTTGTGGTCCGAGATATGCAGCTTTCCTTGAGATTGGGGATCACCATAAATGGAATCAAGGGTCCTTCTCCGCTAATGAATCTACCAGGTGTGGCTTTTTCCCTGAATGTCTAAAGAACAGGGTGAGATTATCCAAGGTTCAAGCGATCGAAGCAAACTGTTTCACACTGAGAACAGAAAGTATTAGTCACACAAAATCTTTGTGATTTTGATTCTGTTTTCGAATAGCACAATGCTCCGCACGTTGATCACTTAATTGTGCTAATCTCTTTGGGTTCCGACTGTACTCTGATATGTTACATTCTTACTTTCTGAGATTATGAACTACATACTTTTGTACTCTCAATGCACTGTTGATTTGCAAATGTTCAGTAGCAGATGCTCAGCGAAGATGACCACAGCCGTGCCCCCAATTTCTCCCCAAGGTCTGTTAGCTGATGTTACGACGGGCTACTTGGATGCGCTGTGAATTAATTTTCTATTTTAAGTTTGCAAGCCAATACTTATTTCAGGCTGCAACAGTGGAAAAATCGGTGATCAGTGGCGCCCAACTGAAAGATGCGAAGTACTTTGCACAAGCATACTGACACAAGCGTGACACAAGTATACTCACACGTAACACTGCTGAGCCACAAGTTTTGTGGTTGCTGTGTAATCTCAAGAGTAAGACAAGACTGTTCCCTTCCTTCCCTCCTTTGCAAAGCTTGGGGAAAAATTCATAGGGCCACGGCAGAGGCAGGGCTAGCATTCTGCCTTCCTATGCTTGTAAGAGTGCCACCTCCCCCCTAATTTTTTTTTTTTTTCTCATAGGCTTAGCCAACAGTGGTCTCTAAGAAAGATGCCGTTGAAACAGACAGTAGAGGCAGTACATACACGCAAATTTCTTCTGAAATTCACGTCCATGCTCATTTGTACGAAGCGCTAAGAAGAGCATTTTGTAATGGTTTTCGATGGTAAAACCTGTCAATATTCTCTGATCGGCAATCGACCGTTCAATAAAATTGTACTCTATTTCGGTTTCAGAGAAACCTTTTGGAACACCTAATTGATGTTTTGATTTTCCAATTCACAGAGTAGCTGACCAGCATACTTGCGGAGTTAATATACTAATATTTTTTCTTTCACCGAAAAAGCAGGAGGTACACTAAAAGATTCAATGTCATGAACTGTTACCAGCTATACTCTTGGAATTATTGAACTTGTGATTTGTCAGTTGCATGCTTTTTTGCAGTCCCTAGAGTTAGAAACTGAGAGACATGTAACATTTACTTTCAGGATTTGATCTTGTGGCCGGAGTGAGCGTCGAGTATATGCACGCCGTTCTTCAAGGAGCAGCAAAGCAGTTTACAGAACTGCTGCTTTCTTCATCCAACTCTCAAAAACGGTTCTACATAGGTACGTCGTACAGTACCAAAATGTCTCATTTCCAGTTACAAGTTGGCGCATAAGTTGCTCTTTTCATAATTTGTGGCACCTCTTCGACCTATTTTTACCTTAATGGTGTTTACCAGGCCAATTCCTGAATCTTTACATACTAGTACTATTCGCGTTTCCTGCTCGTTACTTGCCCACTGAGCAGAAGCAGGGAGTTCTCCAGTGAGGGTCCCCCCTTGTTACTAGCTCCACAGTCCGGGCAAACCTAAAGATGTTGCAAACCTCCCAAGGTTCGAGTTCGAAAGTTTGAAGATATTGAATACTTTGAACCTTGCAACCTCGGACTTTCAGTCCGAGATCGCAAGGTACAAATTTTATGGGGTCTGGGTTTCGCACAGTCTCAAATTCATCTTCATGCTATTAATCATTTTTATCAGAATATCTTCTAGGTGTAACTCTATATATAGCAGCATTTTCGTCCACTTTGAAGCTGACACAATAGCCATTAGTGGTTGCCAAGGTTTTGCCAAATCTCCAGAGCTGGAAAATCAGAATTTTAGCTTAACCTTCAAGAAGATTAGGCATAGATTGGGCAAAATAGAATTGCCAGGCTGGTTGACCGATTTTGATTAGCTCTACAGCTGCTTGTCACATTTTTTAATATGTATCTAAAACTAAGTATATTTACAGATACATATAACAATCGCTAAGCAAAATGTTATCGATACAGGTGTCTTTGTTAGCTGCTCCAAATTTTCAAAAAAATAAAACATGAAATAGGGTAATGTGAGCCCTGAGGCAGTGTTAGTAGCCATGGTGGCTACTAGAAAAAAAGGCGAAATTAGGTAACAATTGTTAGCGACTAACTCAAATGTTATATTAACTTTTCAGTTTTTCACTTGAGTGCACCTAATATGTCTAGAGGATGTAGGCTTGACCTCAATATGGTCTAACGGTGCCATTAAATTTTGATTAAAGAATTTGTGGTAGGCACTATGGGGTCGAGAAATGTCACGGTACTGAGCATCGGACTGAAACAAAGCGGACAATCGCACCGGTAATGTCATCGCTTTGCATGACACTGCTGACGTCCCCTGTGGCGGGGCACGTGAATCGACGTTATTGCAGCCGGCTTCACTTAAACAAGCCAAGCCGGCTGCGATAGCTTCAACCCACGTGCCCGCACCGCAGCTGACATCAGCAGTGTGACACAAAGCAATGAAGTCACCGGCGCTTTTGCTCTCTTAGTTTCAACTTGGCACCGTGTACCAGGGTGACATTTCTCGGCCCTGTAGCGTTCACAAATTTTTAACGAGAATTTGACGGCACGGCTAAACCATTATAAGGTCAAGCTTAGTTCATTAGCTAACTAATTACCCAAATTTGCCTTTTTTCTAGTGGCCACCATGCCCCGGGCCCAATTTACCCTACCTCCCATTTTCTTTTTTTTTTAAATTTTGTTGCAGCTAATAAAAATATTACGTATAGTAATGGTAACAGTGTCATTTTAGCATGTTTATTTACAAAACAACGTTGATTTTCTTCAAAATGGTCACGGCATTCAATTTTAGATTGTGTTTTGCAAAATCATAGCATGGCTGCCCATCTTTGATGGCCAGAGTGCATCCAATATATGCTTTATGTTATGTCCACTGTATTTTGCTGATTGTCACTCTTTGTACTTGCACGGCGCACTGCACATGCTTGATCTATGGCTTTTGAGACCACCCACAACCACATTTGCAGAAGCTGACAAACATATAGTGCTGTCACCACTTGTTAACATGTAGCGTAAGCTTCTACTTCGCTGTGAAATGGACTTTCTGTACCACGTCGCTTTGGCCATGCCGAAACCAGATCAAACATCGAGCTGACCTGTTGTCTGATATGTGCTTGTTCCTATGTTCGCATAGTCTGCATGCATGAACAGATAGGTACAATTTTTTTCCAAAGCTTAGCCCAATCAAAACAGGTAAAACTGATTTCATTACAGCCTGGCGTTGGAGAAATTCGACTGACCTTCGAGGTTCATTGAACTTTTCAAATTGAAGAGTTTGAAAATTGTCATATTTTTTAGCATAATGAATTTAAATGTTAGGAAGATTGATTCTCAAATTTCTCAAACCTCTTTAAACCTCAGGGTTTGACTTTTCACTTTTGAACCTCGGGTTTGAGCCTCAAAATTCTGGGGAGGCGAACTTTCATGAATACATTTTCGAGTGGTTGTACTTTGTACACAGCCTCATATATGGTTATTAAAGCAAGATAAATTACTCATGTGCCCAGTCACTTATGTTGCTTACAGGAGCACCATCCTGCGTGGCACGGGTCAACAGCCGCCTCCTCCAGATCAAGCCACCACACTGTGTGACAAGGCTGCCTCGTTCACTCAACGAGCGCAGTTTCTGGAAAGCGTCAGAGTGGAGACTCTGGCTTCTGTTTTACGCTCTTCCTTGCCTCGTGGACATTCTGCCTCTGGAGTATTGGAAACATCTCTCCAAGCTCTCGCAAGCAATACACATCTTGCTACGTGAGACCATCACAGCCGACGAGATCAAGCGTGCAGGTAAGCTTCATACTTTTTTTTCTCCTATTTGCCTCATAAAGGTCTTTTTTTTATACCGTATGACAGTCTCATGGGAGTGTCAAGATCTACCCGCATTGATTAGACAGAATGTTGTGTGTAAAGTCTCAGAGCATGCAAATCAGGTAACTGTGGTAGGAAATCACACCCAAAAATCATCCAATGAGCTGCACGGCATTTGAAATTTCAGTTAATGTTATGCATTCATTTTATAGTCTGAGATTATATCCTGTGCATGCTTCTTTTTTTGTTTTCAGAAAATCTGCTGATCGACTTTGTTGGTCGCTGTGAGGCCTTGTATGGAGTGGCTTCGCTTACGTTCAACGTGCACCAGCTCCTCCACCTGCCAAACTCCGTGCGTCAGTTGGGACCACTTTGGGCGCAATCCGCATTTGTTTTCGAGGGAGGAAACGGAAAGTTGGTGAAGCTGGTCTCTGCAGCTAGAGGACTTCCGGATCAAATCGTAGAGCGAGTCGTAATGACGCAGCAGCTTGAATGCCTTCTGGCAGATAGCAACGTGGCAATCACTGCCAATGAGCGGAGTGTGTGTGAAAGATTTCTTGATTATTCACACATCCAGAATGCCTGCTATGTTGATGAAGCATGCTTGCTAGGACGTGAAAAAGCTGCCATTCTAACAGCTATCGAGGAACGTGCGCTAGAGGTCTACGGTGGGACAGGCACAGTTGGCAGCGCTTTGGAATACCAGCGTTTTGTGTACAAGGGGCAGGTGTTCCATAGCACCGCATACACAAGAGCTTCAAAGAGTGACACCACTGTAGTGTCAACTGCTGATGGGGAGTATTTCAGAATTAAGAGAATTCTCCATGTTGCTGGTCTCGGGTGCACGCTCCTTTGCAGACGGCTGGTGTTACGGGAGACACCACTCTTTCCTGAGCATATAAAGGAATGTTTTCCTTCGCAGGTAGACATCTGTAAGGTGCTGAAACCCGAGGACATTAAGGCCAACTGCCTTTTCATGGTGTTTCCGGCTGACAGCAAGTGCTTTGTGTGCGACATGCCGAACAAAATTGAGAGGGACTAAAGTTCTTTAACATGTATACAGGGCTTTTTTTTCCTCATTCTTTACAGAATTTAAAAAAGTGTGTGTTGGGTACATAGATTCCGTCTTCTCTGTGTACTTCTGGGGCTCGGCAGACATTAGATGAGTGGATAAACGTCACAATATTTTGACTAATTAATCAAAATGTGTTGATTGATGTTTTAATTAACAGTTTAATGGGCCACATACACTATCAGTTTTAAAGAGCGCAATGTCTATCTGCCATTTAAGTGATGCGACAGCTCTCTATGCTGTAGATGAGCAATTTAGCCAGTGCAGTGTAACCGCTAGACTCGGGTCTTTAATGTGCATCATGCAATAGTAATACACAAACATGTGCCAGCACGATGCTCATCCAGATCGAAATGGGTAGGGGTTGTGGATAGAACCGAAGAATATTACCGCTTGCATGTGATCGCACATACTTCATTACTTTTCTCTTTCAAACTTAAAATGCATTTGGTGGTGCATGTTTGTGCACTTTTTGGCTTGAGTTTGCTGTGCTGCGCTTGAGCAGACCTCTAAAGAGGGTAATACCTTCTTTTGGGTAATGATGCAGAGTCGTTGCATTTCATGCTTTGTCATTGTTGAACTTCACTGTCATCAACCATGTTCTATTTATGTCCTTTGCTGCTTGTTTTAGATGCTATATTCTGTCAAAATGGTTTTATTGTGTAAAGCATTGCATATTATCAAATGTACTAAAGTGGAAAGAAAAATAAAGCACTGCTGCCTGATTGCACTAAGGGATAAAGACCACTACCGGGTGGTCTGTGTGTCGGGCCCAGACTTAAATAGACCTAAAATTCGGATTTCTGAAGTACAACACTGTAATTTACCATACAAGTTCAGCTAGGTGGTGGAAATTTTATATGTGATAATATTGATGAAACTTGCTCGAGTCAAAAGTTACAAATAAAAACATAAAAAGTTGCATGAGCCGACATATGGTTAAGCCTTTTCCTCTCAAAGCTAGAAAACGTTCTGGTCCACTGGAACGTTTTATGAACAAAAACGGGGAACACCAGTAAGATGAGAGCTTTTTCTTTCCCTTGCACTTTTTGTTAAATAAAACGTTTTAATGGCCTACGAGGATGCTTTTTTGGTTTCGGAATGAGTATTCTTGTGTATTCCTTCGTAACTTTTGACTGAGCCAAGTATTTTTTATCACATCACTAATGAAATCCACGACCTTGCGAAACTAAGGTAGTAAAGTACAGTGCCATAGTTTACAGATCTGATTTTTGCTATAGGTCTCGGACCGACATATGCTGTTATATGAAAGTATTGACGTCGGGTATCTCAAAGGATGGTAATTGACTGAGTGATTTATTTGCACTTAAATTGGTCCGTACACGGCGGTCTGCCAAGCAAAGCAGATAGGCAAAAACCCTTACGCGTGTGTCTCTGCCAGCCTGCTGCTGTGTCCGTTGGGAGTAATACTACCCAGCTTTAGAATTAAGCATTAAAATTATGATGGCGGTGATGATGGAGGTGGTGGTGATGACGATGATGTTGCTGGTGGCGGTGGCAATGGTGATGATTCAAGAGGAGAGGGTGACGGAGTGAAGATCATGATGTCTGCAGATGCGAAGGCATTCGTCTCGCAAATACCTTGCAAAGTTCCCGGGATTCATCGTGTGATGTGGGCAGAGGGCTACGAGAAGCTAATGGGATGGTCAAAAAGTCTCTAATGGCGGCGGGCAGTAGGGATTCGCTGTGACGAACAGTCCTGCCTCGAAGAAGTTCGAGCTGACCTGATCTTCTACCGAGACGCACGGCGGCCGATAGGCGAGTCCCCGAAAGAGATTCATTGAGCAATCGGCACAGCACGCAGACTCGAGAAATCTTTCGTCTCTGATCGAGGGGCCGCCAGCCAAGTTTTCTGAGCCGTGCGTGGTACGGCACGTCAGTCGTGCCAGGGACCAGGCGCAAATTTTGCGGGTTGCACGGCGCTGCACGCTCTACAGTCTCTCAATTAGATGTTGTTGAGGGGGAGACCAAACTGCATGCAGAGCAGTATTCCAATGAAGGCAGGAAGGATGTATATTGTGCCTGCAGGACCGCCGGCCCACCTGGCCTTGCGACGCGGGTGATGAGGCCAAGCGTCCTGCAAGACTGCGCGATAATGCCGGCAATATGTGCGGAAAAATCCAAGTTTTGGGAAAACGTGACACCTAAGATAGGCAGGTGGTCTGATGTGCGCAGTGGAGTGCCTGCTACAGTATATACAAGGCAATTGTCTGTTTTTTGCAGTTTGAGAAACGTATCACGGAACTCTTGGATGCGCTCAGGCTTAGGTGTTGTCTCGAGATCCATCTCTCTACATCTTCTAGATGGTTTTGCAAGTGACGTGCGTCAGACTGGGACGAAATTGTCATCGCGATTGATGTATCGTCTGCGTATTGCACTAGGATACACTTGTCATTGCGTGGCATGTCGTTCACGAATATGAGAAAGAGCGTCGGAGCGAGGACAGAGCCCTGTGGCACTCCTGATGACATGACCCTCTCTGTAGAGCGTGCCCCACAGTACACAACTTGTTGGCTGCGATTCTGCAGAAAGCTTGATATCCAGGTGAATAGGAAATCGTGTATGCCTGCGTGTGTAAGCTTCTCAAGCAGGAGGTTAATGTCGAGCATATCAAATGCATTGCTTAGGTCAAGTTGGATTAGATCTCTCATGGTTCGATTATCCATGTGATCACTGATAAAATGGGTAATAGTTGCCAGTGCTGATTCGCAGCTGCGACCTCTTCGAAAGCCATTCTGACTGTCGGAGAGATAGCCGGATTCTTCAACGTGGTTGAGAAGCTGGCTGTTAACTATCCTTTCAAATGTTCGACAGACAATCGAGGTGATTGACACAGGACGGTAATGTTTTGGTTCATTCGTCGGCTTCCTTTTCCCTTGTGTAGCGGAGTGACCAAAGCTCATTGCCACGTTCCTGGCACAGTACTACTGTCGAACAGCCTTTGCAGAATCTGGCAGGTGGTCGGCAGCATTAGCGGACAGAGCCTTTTGAACCACGTCGGCGTGGTTCAAAGTTCAAAGAAAGTAATGCCATTGTGAAATTGCTTTCTAAAAGTAGCCGCCTCGGTGGCTCCGAGGCGAGAGCGTCGGCCTACGGATCCCCATGTGGCGGGTTCGAATCCCGGCCGAGGTGCCCGCAATCTGACGGAGGCTTATTGTGGAGAAGACGCCGTGTAACCGAGCTTTCGGTTGCACGTCAAAAGATCCCCAGGTGGTCGAAATTAATCCTCAGTCCTCCGCTGGGGCGTGCCAGATGCCCGTCGTTGGTTTGGCACGTAAAACCCCCAAATTTTTGACTTTCTAAAAGTAATGTAAATTGCAATGAATTACTTTTTGTCCAGTAGTTCTAATTGTAATTACCTTATTTCGGACAAAGGTATAGTTTTGCTTGTTTAGACCACAGCTCTGGGAAGCTGGAGCAAAAGGCGGCAAACGTTGTAACTATAATTAAATTACATTTATGAAGTAATTTACCAAAGTGTGCTGCTAGGCAGATTATAAAACAACCTTTCTTCGGTATATATACACGATTTTGAATAGTTCAACTGCCTGTTAGAGGAGCTCGATTTCCAATTTGAACAGTTTGACTACCAGTTTGAGCAGTTAGCTACCAGTTTGATCAGTTCCACCACAATGCTCTGCTACAAGTTTGAAAAACAGTTTATCAGTGTAACCAGTTCAGTCACCATTTTGAACAGTTTGAATACCAGTAGGACCAGTTCTGCTACCACTTTCACCTGTCTAGCACTCAGTTTAGCCTGTTTGGCAAGTTCAGCTGCCTGTTTCCCCAGTTTGGCAAGTTTTGCTTCCCATTTGGCAAGTTCCGCTGCCTGTTTTGCAATTTTGCTTCCTTTTTGGCAAGTTTAGCAGCCTGTTTGGCCAGTTTTGTTTCCTGTTTAGCCAGTTCGGGAACCTGTTTGGCAGGTTTGGCTGCCTGTTTGGCAAGTTTGTCTGCATGGTTGGCAAGTCTGGCTGCCTGTTTGGCAGGTTAAGGTGCCAGTTTGGCTTGTTAATGTTCCAATTCGGCCAGTTTGTTTTCTTATATCGCCAGTTTAATCAGTTCGATTTCCATTTTGCCCAGTTCAAATTCGGGTATGCCGGGTTGAGAATCATACTGTTTTTTTCAATAGGGACGTCTCTCGTCAGGCCGTGCTCTCTCCAACAATTCGCTTTCACCGAGGCAATAGCCGAGATCGTGGTCACGGTGAACGAATAAAACCGCGCCGAACGTCTCTCGTCAGGCCGTGCTCTCTCCAATAATTCGCTTTCACCGAGGCAATAGCCGAGATCGTGGTCACGGTGAACGAATAAAACCGCGCCGAACGTCTCTCGTCAGGCCGTGCTCTCTCCAATAATTCGCTTTCACCGAGGCAATAGCCGAGATCGTGGTCACGGTGAACGAATAAAACCGCGCCGAACGTCTCTCGTCAGGCCGTTCTCTCTCCAATAATTCGCTTTCACCGAGGCAATAGCCGAGATCGTGGTCACGGGGAACGAATAAAACCGCGCCAAACGTCTCTCGTCAGGCCGTGCTCTCTCCAATAATTCGCTTTCACCGAGGCAATAGCCGAGATCGTGGTCACGGTGAACGAATAAAACCGCGCCGAACGTCTCTCGTCAGGCCGTGCTCTCTCCAATAATTCGCTTTCACCGAGACAATAGCCGAGATCGTGGTCACGGTGAACGAATAAAACCGCGCCGAACGTCTCTCGTCAGGCCGTGCTCTCTCCAATAATTCGCTTTCACCGAGGCAATAGCCGAGATCGTGGTCACGGTGAACGAATAAAACCGCGCCGAACGTCTCTCGTCAGGCCGTGCTCTCTCCAATAATTCGCTTTCACCGAGGCAATAGCCGAGATCGTGGTCACGGTGAACGAATAAAACCGCGCCGAACGTCTCTCGTCAGGCCGTGCTCTCTCCAATAATTCGCTTTCACCGAGGCAATAGCCGAGATCGTGGTCACGGTGAAGGAATAAAACCGCGCCGAACGTCTCTCGTCAGGCCGTGCTCTCTCTAATAATTCGCTTTCACCGAGGCAATAGCCGAGATCGTGGTCACGGTGAACGAATAAAACCGCGCCGAACGTCTCTCGTCAGGCCGTGCTCTCTCCAATAATTCGCTTTCACCGAGGCAATAGCCGAGATCGTGGTCACGGTGAACGAATAAAACCGCGCCGAACGTCTCTCGTCAGGCCGTGCTCTCTCCAATAATTCGCTTTCACCGAGGCAATAGCCGAGATCGTGGTCACGGTGAACGAATAAAACCGCGCCGAACGTCTCTCGTCAGGCCATGCTCTCTCCAATAATTCGCTTTCACCGAGGCAATAGCCGAGATCGTGGTCACGGTGAACGAATAAAACCGCGCCAAACGTCTCTCGTCAGGCCGTGCTCTCTCCAATAATTCGCTTTCACCGAGGCAATAGACGCCGTCGTGGTCACGGTGAACGAATTAAACCGCGCCAAACGTCTCTCGTCAGGCCGTGCTCTCTCCAATAATTCGCTTTCACCGAGGCAATAGCCGAGATCGTGGTCACGGTGAACGAATAAAACCGCGCCGAACGTCTCTCGTCAGGCCGTGCTCTCTCCAATAATTCGCTTTCACCGAGGCAATAGCCGAGATCGTGGTCACGGTGAACGAATAAAACCGCGCCAAACGTCTCTCGTCAGGCCGTGCTCTCTCCAATAATTCGCTTTCACCGAGGCAATAGCCGAGATTGTGGTCACGGTGAACGAATAAAACCGCGCCAAACGTCTCTCGTCAGGCCGTGCTCTCTCCAATAATTCGCTTTCACCGAGGCAATAGCCGAGATCGTGGTCACGGTGAACGAATAAAACCGCGCCAAACGTCTCTCGTCAGGCCGTGCTCTCTCCAATAATTCGCTTTCACCGAGGCAATAGCCGAGATCGTGGTCACGGTGAACGAATAAAACCGCGCCAAACGTCTCTCGTCAGGCCGTGCTCTCTCCAATAATTCGCTTTCACCGAGGCAATAGCCGAGATCGTGGTCACGGTGAACGAATAAAACCGCGCCAAACGTCTCTCGTCAGGCCGTGCTCTCTCCAATAATTCGCTTTCACCGAGGCAATAGCCGAGATCGTGGTCACGGTGAACGAATAAAACCGCGCCAAACGTCTCTCGTCAGGCCGTGCTCTCTCCAATAATTCGCTTTCACCGAGGCAATAGCCGAGATCGTGGTCACGGTAAACGAATAAAACCGCGCCAAACGTCTCTCGTCAGGCCGTGCTCTCTCCAATAATTCGCTTTCACCGAGGCAATAGCCGAGATCGTGGTCACGGTGAACGAATAAAACCGCGCCAAACGTCTCTCGTCAGGCCGTGCTCTCTCCAATAATTCGCTTTCACCGAGGCAATAGCCGAGATCGTGTCACGGTGAACGAATAAAACCGCGCCAAACGTCTCTCGTCAGGCCGTGCTCTCTCCAATAATTCGCTTTCACCGACGCAATAGCCGAGATCGTGGTCACGGTGAACGAATAAAACCGCGCCAAACGTCTCTCGTCAGGCCGTGCTCTCTCTAATAATTCGCTTTCACCGAGGCAATAGCCGAGATCGTGGTCACGGTGAACGAATAAAACCGCGCCAAACGTCTCTCGTCAGGCCGTGCTCTCTCCAATAATTCGCTTTCACCGAGGCAATAGCCGAGATCGTGGTCACGGTGAACGAATAAAACCGCGCCAAACGTCTCTCGTCAGGCCGTGCTCTCTCCAATAATTCGCTTTCACCGAGGCAATAGACGCCGTCGTGGTCACGGTGAACGAATAAAACCGCATCAAACGT